TGTCTCTGAGAACTGTGACTAGAAAGTTGGGGAATAAATTCTTGCCCATGTTATCTTCCACTTCCCCGCTACATTCTCATGCCACCAGTTTTGGTTGGTGTAGATTCTCTTACTTTTCAATTCTCTCTATATGGGCATGCATTGTGTCTGATCTTTACTTACAATGCACGTATTGTACAATTATCTTAATTTTGCCTAGTTGTTTGGAGTTTCCATTCTGGTAGAAGAAGTATCTATCTGTTTGCTAGTATCCTTTCAGCTATAACTTTGCTTATTGGTTCAACTAAAAGGTAGCTATTTTGTATTATGAAACCAGTGCCCGGAAATTATTGGAGTAATTGCTTTCGTTCAATCTTCATGAATGAAAATATATCAAATAATATTAACCTGAAGATTGAAAGATGATTAAAATTCTAGGGAAGTTATGACTTGTTGAAATTCCAATGCGGAATGGAAACTGATAATCATATAGTTCCTCAATTTTTTTAGGGAAAAATTGGTTATGTGATGCTATGCTGCTAGACAATGCATCAGCAGATTTGCTGTAATACTTTTCTTCTTCATTGTCGGATTATAATATGTTATCCCCTTTGACATCTAGGATTTAAACAAGTGAATGAGGAAGAAAAGGCCCAAATGGTTGGTAATGTCTTCACAAATGTTGCCGCAAGCTATGATGTCATGAATGATCTAATGAGTGCTGGATTACATAGATTGTGGAAGGATAGGTTAGATTCTCAGAAGCTGTGCCCTTTGTGTCATTCCAATTTGAATCCTTTTTTTAGCTGTTTACCTTGACTTCAATGTGTTCTCAGACTAGTTTCCAAGCTAAACCCTTTTCCTGGAATGAAGCATCTTGATGTGGCTGGCGGGACAGGTGGGCTTCTTTGTCACAACATATGTTTTATAATGCTTCTACATATAAGTTTGAAAAATTACAAGTAAATCTACAGATATTGACAAAATTTGTGTGGGAGAAAAATTATAAATGTAACGGAGTTAAGGATTGCACACTGAAGCTATGTCTTGGGTAAAACAAGAATTGAGTTTACTAGCTGCATGAGTTTGCTGATTTATGCCTCTTTTGTCCATAAAGCATTTCAAATTGGTCCACTTATGACAACCAAATGGTCAATATCTATGTTCTTATTGTATATTTCTGTGCTAAAGATAAGTTATCTTCTGGGATTATATGCTGGGGACTGTTTAGCATTATTTAACTGAGTGATAACAGTCATACAGTGAATATAATATGGAGTTCCGAGCAATTCCTAAACGCAAAACAGATATTAAGGCTATACAATGGGCATTTAACTGGTTCAGAAGCTAAGTCTTCCATGAATTCTATCTTTTGTGTTTGTTCAAGTAATACAATTGTATGACCCTTCTTTTGTGGTAAAGCCTGCTTCTCGTTTCTTCCTTCCCCGGAATATCCTCTTGTAAATATGGATAGAAATAAATTGACATTGGCACTGTATGTCTTCTATGCTAGACTTGAATATCTTAAGGTGCGCGTAATAAATTTTTTTTTTTTTTGTGTCAGACATATTCATTCATGTTGGAATCCCATGATTTATGCCCTATTTATTCTCTGCATTTATTGTAATTGATATCAACATTTTATTTGTCCTTTTGTTTTATCTTTAATGCTCGTTTATTCCCTGGTTTGTATTCTCTGTCTGCCTAGAGTGAGTTGCTGTGGCTTTTTTCTGTAGCTAACCCTCTACATATATGTATTTTCTTTCTTCAAAATAATAAGATGAATTCAGAAAACCAGTTATTCTGAAATTCCGCAATTTACAGGGGACGTTGCTTTTAGAATCTTGGAGACTATAAACCAAGTTAAACTGAGAGGACTTCGAGATGTGCTTGAAGATACTTTAGAGGAGGAAACTCAAATATATGTTTGTGACATTAATCCTAGCATGCTAAATGTTGGAAAACAACGGGCCTTGGAGAGAGGTAACCTAGAAAGCCTTCAAATTTGGCCAATTGGTTTTAAGCTTCAGTACAGGAATATGGCTAAACTTATTCCTGATTTGTTTGAATTGAATATTTTCTGGTGATTAAATAGGCTTTGGACAAGATCGCTCGCTTGTATGGGTAGAGGGAGATGCTGAAAACTTGAGTTTCAAAAACGATTCAATGGATGGCTACACTATTGCTTTTGGGATTAGAAATGTTACACACATAGAGAAGGTTCTTAATGAAGCTTATAGGTAAGCTTCACTTTTAAAGATATTTATGTACACCTTTGTGGCTGAGAACTATCAATCAATAGAAATGTATGGCCAGTAACCATTTTTTTGCTAAACAGGGTATTAAAACGTGGGGGAAGGTTTCTCTGCCTTGAATTGAGCCATGTTGACATTCCAATATTTAAAGAATTGTAAGTATAATTTGCCCTATTTTCTGACATGAATGCATATGGGTTATTAAATTTGAGAGAACAGAGTGAAATAGAATGTGCATACTATTACATTTGAGAGTGAAAATAAATAATAAATGTCCGAACTTCAATCCGCATATTTTTACGGATAACGTAATTATTCATGTTTACTCTCTTTACTTCCTTCTGCCTTCATGTTTAACTCAACCTTTAATTAATGTTTCACTTTTTATTTCTCTCAGGTATGACCTTTATTCTTTCTCAGTTATTCCTGCCATGGGAGAGTTGGTTGCTGGTGATCGAGCATCCTATCAATACTTAGTTGAGAGTATTCGGCGTTTCCCCCCACAGGTTCTTATTCTTCCATTTCTTGGTAGCTTTCAATGTCTTCAATTAATTTGTTCTTGAAATGATCAAAGAAAATTATGCCATGACATTTTGCCTCCTAAAGCTTGAAACCCCTTAAACAGTCAAATAGAAAAGCCAAGTAAAAATTTGAACATGCCTATCACAATGCAGTTTTCCGATCGAATGCAAATGTCAATGAAGGTTGCTGATGTGGCTAGGATCTTATTCTATGTTGACTAATCTGTATTGCAACTGATGAGCAGGATAAATTTGCTTCAATGATTGCCAATGCCGGGTTCCAGAAAGTCGAGTACGAGAATCTAGTTGGAGGAGTGGTTGCCATCCATTCAGGATTGAAAGTCTGATGGTGCATGCGTATTCCTAAGCTACACAGCGTGGATATCAAGCATAAGATCTTGCTGGAATTCCAAGTGTTGAATTGGTTAGAATGGCTTTTCTAGTTTCTGCACTTGTGCAGCCACCGGAAATGTCTTGATTGTGACTTTGGCGTTTGCAATTCTTTTACAAATACTCTGGTCTTCTTATATATATGTAGTATTATGGACGACTTTAATAAGAATTTAAAAACGAAATTTGCTTTTACACCAATAAATAAATTCATTTCATTTTTTTAATGCAAAAGTTGGTCTCTGTTACTTCCATCCCCCAATATGTTTTTTTCCTCTGTTCCCTTTTTCTTTCCTCTTTTTTCTTTTGGTGAATTTTCCTCTCCTAAACCAATAGCTCTATTCACAATTTCAAGATTCGAACCGTAAGCATTACTTAAGGGACTTAGCGCCTCATCTGGCTAGAACAACCATACACTGGGATCAACATCATGTCTTTCATATGAATTGCTGAAGTGGTGAATCATATTAAAAAACTGTTAGCTCTGGTTTTTAATATAAGACTTGTTTGATTTTTATTTTAATCCTAAATATAAGATTCTAATTCACTTTGTCTCTTATATTTATCTATTTTTTTCTAAGATAGTCTTTTTAATAATAGTAGTTTTAACTATACAAATATACTTGATTAGCAAGGATATTTTAGAAAAAAACATCTATTTATTACAAATAACTAACTTAACTTATTTTCTTGATCTCTTTATATTAGTCAATTAGTTTTATAATTAAAATCAGTATTTAGTATGAGCAACTCTGCAAGATAGGCCAAACGGCGAAAAATTACCTTGTAGCTAGTTTAATAAAAACAAGAAGAAAAACAGTACCAAAGGAATCTTTGATTACTGTTTAGATGACTTTATTTAGTTTTAATAGTATACCTTTCTCGGCCTTTTGGTTAAGATCAATTGTAGTACCTGTCATTATCAGTATTTATTTTTAATGGTTTATCCCATTGTACTACAAAAAAAAAAAGTAAATTCCGTGCGACTATTGCTGATGGCCCGCGTTATTGATAAAATATTAATAAATAATACATGTCAAAAAGGTAATTGCAGAAAATTAAATTTAAGAACACAAAAAATATTCGCAGTAGTGGTTGAATTAAGGAGAGGCTCCATCTATATTTCAAGATTTCAAGTAAATTTGAGTGTTCAACACTGAGATTAACAAAATCAAAACGGGCATAACAATAGTAAGATCTGAATTTTATTTTTCCCACAAAATCTGGATTAATATCCAGGACCAGATCCGTACATTATATTAGTCCCCCAAAAGGTCCGTACATTATAAAAATAAAATTAATACTACTTCCTATCCTTAATACAAAATCTCATTAGATTTTTATTTTAGTCTTAAATATAAAATGCTAATTCATCACGTCTTTTTTATTTATATTTTTTTTTAAAGTAATGCTTCTAATAATAATAGTTCTAACTAATATATTTAATTAATAAAAATATTTTTAAAAAATAATACTTATTTATTATAAATAACTAATTTTATTTATTTATTTAATTTTTTTAAATAAGTCAATTGTTGGTATAATTAGAACAGAAAATAATATCTAGTCCAAATATCTTTCTGTTGGATGGAGTCACAGGGCGGCCGGCGGGCCCCACCGCTCAGCGAACGGATAGAGCCCATTGTGGAAACTTGTGAGCCCACCTTTTCGTCCGATTCACCCATTGATTTCTCGTTTTCTGTATCTAACTGTTCGAAATGTACCCGTCCACAGCTGACTAGATTCGACACTTGTCAACCATCCGTAGGTTCAGATTCTGGCTCGGTCACACAGACACGTAACACGTCGCACTTTTCTCTCCTACCCACCACCTCCTTTCTCCATTTTACTTTCCATTCTTAGAGCTTCTGGTTCATTTCTGTTGGGGTCACTGAACCTGAAACTATAAGCAAGATGATCGGGTATATCTGGTTTACACTGATTTCTCTTCTTGAATTTCGACCTGTTTGTAGAAAACTTTCTTCATCTCTTTCGTCAGCCGGAAAATGCCGACTGCTCGGTTCTTATATTGTGCTTATAGGTAGCTACGGGTAGTTTCTGGAATTTGAGTCCAGGGTATTAGTGTCTATGTCTTTTGGCGCGTTCTGTTATATAGTCTTTTCTGTGCTTTATCGTGCTTTTGCAGGTATCTATATCTGAAGATATTTTAGTGTTTGAAGCCGATCAATGTTTGGATGTTCTTTTTATTAAGGAGGTGGCGTAGAGTGGTTTATTTTATTTATTTTTTCGTAGCTATTTAACAGTAATTTTCTGCGAGATATATTGTATGGTTTGGTAGCTCCTAGCATATACAGGGCCATGAAAACGCGCGCGCGAATTTGCTGATATACTGATTAATGTAAAAGTCTTGTCATAAGATACTTCTAAGCATCAAGTTTTATTTATGGGATCTTCTTGAAATGTATTGACTGCAAATGGTGTTTAATCATGAGATCGTTGGAGACTGGAGGCAACAGAATGTTGGAATTAGACATAGATATTGGCTTAGCAAAGTCAGAGGTTTGCTGGGATTCATTTGACTCGCACTGATTAATATACACGGTTAATAATGATACCTCGTTCTCTACTCGATTGCTTGTTTCTTACTTTTAACTGCCATTTCGTATTCTTGTATCTTTTTTAAAAGATAAAATAAAATAAAAAGCTAGAAATATGCTTACATGCCTAACATAAAGATCATAAACTGCTAAAATAAAACTGCTTGAGTCATTTTGATCGTTGGGCTTTAGTGATTCGAATTGGTGTGGGCAAACTCACCCTAGTCTACTCTATAACTCGTAATACTTCTTAATTTTTTTCACCAGAAGTCAAGTTCTGGATGATCAACTCCGCTGAAAGCTTGTTTGGCTTTGCTCTTCCCCTTCATTTCTGCAGGCTGAAATAGAGTGCATGTATTCATATTTGGGTTATTGAAATCACTAGATATTTCCTGAATGGGAGGAGTTTGTTCTAGGAAGCAAGAGCAGGACGTTGAAGATAGTCCTCAAGAAGGGCTTTCACGGAAAAAATATTGCAAAAGTGGGAGTTTGAAATGGCTCACATCGTCATTTTCTAATCCTAGGATGAATTTCCACTTACAAAATGGAGAATGTCCATCACTGTTGGACTTGTGCATCCACAGAATAAGTCAGGTACTTCCAACGCTAAAAGTTATATTTGGTCTTGACTATCCACTTTTTCTTTAGGTATAATCACTGCAACCTGCAATTTTTCTTCAACAGGATATTGATAGATATAGCTCGATGTCTATGCTCCCACGGGATATAAGTCAGCAAGTTTTTATAGAATTGGTGCGTTGCCATCGTCTAACTGCTGCTTCCCTTGAAGTCTTTCGAGATTGTGCTCTCCAGGTAAATCATTTCAAATTATATAGCATGTTTGTAGTTTATATAATTTTGTTTTCAATTCTGCTCAGTTATCTGTTCTTCATCTAAATCATCCATGCTCATCCTGCCTTATGTTTAACAGGATCTTTACTTGGGAGAATATGATGGGGTGAATGATAGTTGGATGGATGTCATTTCATCACAAGGGTCGTCTCTACTTTCTGTGGATCTTTCTGGTTCAGATGTCACTGATTATGGGCTGACTTATCTAAAAGATTGCAAAAATCTCCTAGCCCTGAATCTTAATCATTGTGACCACATTTCAGACTATGGTCTTAAATACATCAGTGGTAATCTTTTCTTCTTCTGGGTTTCTTTATGTCTTCCATATTGGTACATGGTGTCATGCATTTGTATTGTAGTCATGTATATTTGGTCCTTTGCCTTCTGTCTATGGACTTTGTTTATCAAAAGAAATGGGGAAAAAGGAAGAAAATCCGATACCATTAATGAAAAATCAGCATTGTAAATTTTATTTATTGCATTGACATGATTATTATCTATTTGTTATCGTCCAAAAAAATGTACCTATCCTTATGCATGCATCTCACTTTTTCTTTTATGAATTTTCTTTTTCCTAGGAACGGTAAGTGAAAGATACCTTATGTGATATTGAACAATTTAAATATAAAAATATTAAGCAGATAATCTGCTTGAATTTTGGCGTTTCAGTTGGTCCTATAGTTCCTTGTTTGTTTTTCAGCTTATTAAAATATGATAGGTATGTGACTTTGAGCAGCAACCATCATCAAATAATCAAATATAATTTTTTTTTTATCTTGAATATGTGATTTATTATTGCACTTGAGATGATAAATACATGCGATGTATTGTCATTTGTTTGTTTGTTTAGTAGTTGCCTGAGGCATTCTTTGGGGCACCTTTTTCTGAATTTTCATAATTTTGCTGTCTTTTCATGTGATGCTGATTTATTGATAATCATATGAAGATTTTTCTGGCTCAGAACTTTGTTGACGTGTTAACTTTTCCTTGTTTAATTCCAATTTAATTGAATGTCTCAGGTCTGACAAACTTAACTAGTCTGAGTTTTAGAAGAAACAATTGGATTTCTGCTCAAGGAATGCGTAGCTTTTCTGGTCTTGTTAACTTGGTCAAGTTGGATTTGGAGAGATGTCCTGAGGTTCATGGAGGCCTTGTTCATCTCCAAGGTTGGTTCCTTAATGTATTGCTGATAACATCCTGCCATGTTTTCCTTGTCTTATAGACATGTAGATGATGTTCGCTTTCTTCTTCTTCTTCTTCTTCTTCTTCTTCTTCTTCTGCCCTTCTTAGCATGTGTTCTCTAAAGGAATTGATACATGCCATGCTGTTGTAATTTTGAATCTCGCTTTGTTACAGTTTCTATTTGTTGCAATGCAGATATTTAATTGTCATTAATTTTTCACTTATCCTGATTTTCAAAAAAAAAAAAAAAAATTGCATGTTGTAGTGCGTCTGAATTCAGATGGGGTTCAGTTTCACAAGGCCCCCTTTGCATTACATTGAATTTTGGGAATAGTTCATCCTCCTGTCTCTCCTATCAATGAACAAATGTTGATCTAGTTATAGCTTTAGAATGGGAGATTTGGAAAATGGAAGTTAAGTAAGAATATGTAAGTGCTTTAGAGCAACAATAGTTGAGAAAAATGAATGAGATGACTTGTAATTGGGAAAAGGGACTTTGGCATCTTGGTCTTCGACTTCTGGTTCTAAAGTTGCGTGATGTTTCCATGCTTTTCCATGGTGGGTCTAGCTGAAAAACCTACGAATTTCAGTTTAATCTAATTCATAATTCTCAGGCTTAATCAAGTTGGAATCTCTCAATTTGAAGTGGTGTAATTGCATAACCGATGCTGACATGAAGCCTCTCTCAGGTTAGTTGTATCTTGCCTCTCTTTGATGACAACAGCTGAAAGTCTCAACAGTTGAAAAAGTGAATACCACCTAGATTAATTGTGTCGGTTTTCTTTTATGCGCTCTGCATTTTTTAGTGTGTAATAGTTCCTTTTCAGATTACCATTGTGCGCTTGCAGGAACTATGGGTATATTTTGCTTAACAAATGAGATGTACTGTAATTGCAGATGTAGTTTGGGTTGGATGTCAGGTGGGGATTGTCTACTGCATGCTACTCCAAGAGGAGAAATTATCCACCCACTTTTCGATTTCAAATTCTCTTATTCTCAATCATCCATTTTCCTTGGTGTTTTCGTTTTATTTTTGAATAAGCAAGTAGCAGGATGAATGTCATGGCACTTATATCAAACTGGCAGTCTGTCTTATGGAAGTTGAAAGATATTTTCCATCTTTGCCCACGCACAAATCTTGACTGTCTCCTCTTACAGTAACACACAGCAGACAAGCCACAGCAGAAAATGTCATTGGCTCATTGCATTATTGCAAATGTTGCTTCTATGAAGAATGGCCCATTTTATGTGAAATTTAGTTTCATTTATCTTCTTTCTATTTGTTGGATATTTTCTTCACTGGGGTATATTCGCACTGATTGACATTAAATGCAACTATCAATGTTTAAGAATCATATAATTGTCAGCACGGGGATGTGTATATAAAAGTTTAATCATCAGTCATCTTTTTGTTGTTTAGGACATGGCTCAGTAACTAACAGTAGAATTTTTCAATTCAATATGCTTCCAGAGCTTGCAAATTTGAAAAGTCTTGAGCTTTCGTGCAGTAGAGTTACTGATCTTGGCATCAGTTTTCTAGAAGGTATTGTGCCTTCCCTTTCTTATGTGCAGGGGCATATCTTAGAACGCTAGAGGGTGTCAACAAGAATTTCATGGAGCCATATTTACTTGAACTGAATTGTTGATTGACCTTTGATAGTAATAGATAAAAATAATTTAAGCAATCAATTTTAGGATTTATTGTTCAATGTCTGCCTGCTTTCACCATTTGCATCTTGTTCATACAAATACGCAGCGTCTTTTCTATAGTAGCACTTTTCCGACTGCTTTTCTTTTTGTTCATCTTTTAATTTGTATCCCCAATCCTTCATGTCTCCTTATTTTCCTTCTCTGCTTCTAAATCACTCGGCTTAGTATCAGATAAGAAGCAACGAGGAAGAATAGACAACAGTATTTCTGTGTGTTTCTCTGATAGTAAACTGGGGATATAGATGCGCAGAGTTCCTTGACTCTCTTAACTGACACTCTAATAAACTGTTCCAAGTCTTAGCTGCGTAACAGCATAACTGACTCTAACAATCAGCTTGGTGGAAAAATTTTATTTTATTTTTTTCATTTCCATCTCCTTTTCTTCCATTTTAATAATTCCTTGATTCATTTCAGGATTACAGAAGCTTTCAATGTTAAATTTGGAAGGATGCCTGGTAACATCTGCATGTTTGGGTTCTCTCGCAGGTTGCTTTACTTTTTTGGCTTTTAAGCTTTTTTCTGTTAATATTTTTAATTACAATATTCAGGCTGAGCAGGGTATCTTCTTTTTTTTTTGGGGGGCAGGGGGGGATTTCAAAATTCTATGGCAGCATAGTGTCCTTCTTTTCTCTCTGTTGGGTAGCTTTGAGCTTCTTTTGGTGTCTGTGCTTGGTTTTTTTAAAAAAGAGTTGCCCAGCTTACTTTTCAACGCATAAACACCAATAATATAATGACCATTTGCCTTTCTGGTCTAATGTTCTTGTCAGGCATTTGAAGCACAAGTTTATTGCGCCTTTTTTTTTTTTTTTTCCTTGCCTCATTTAAAGGGAGTGAAACTGAGATTCCCATTTTCAGTTTTAGCCTGACGTTGTGCTTTCTTTTCTTTCTTTTTTTTTTGGGTTTGGCCAGAGCTTCCTGCACTGTCAATCTTGAATCTTAATAGATGTAACCTTTCAGACAATGGATGTGAAAAGCTTTCACGTAAGTAGTTAAAATTTTATAATTAATTCTGTAAGGCTGCGGTTTTATAATTTATAATATAATTATTATCACATATGTGTGCCATAACTATTCCGCGGGTGTTAAATCTTTGGCATTGTCTTTTCTTTTTTGTAGAACTGAGAAACTTGAAGGTGTTAAACTTGGGATTCACTGATATCACCGATGCATGCTTAGCACACGTGCAAGGTGATTGAAAATACTCACCTGATTCTCTCCCCCCTTTCTCTTCCAGACCATATGAACAATTTGGTTTATTCAAGAATTAAAATGAGGAAATAAACTGTCGACAATGTACAAACTGAAGTATATAAGTACTTGGTTATTTTCTTTTCCATCAAAGCAGTTGGGATCAAGATCTTATTATCTTTCCAAGGCTACAAGGTGTAAAAAATCATCAGGTCATGTATTAAATACTTTTCTACCATTTTGTTTACAAATTTATCTTTGACTCAAGTGTTTAAACCATGGCCATGACTTATTTAGCTCACGTTCCTTTAAACTTGTATGCACAACGTTTCCATCCGGTTAATGGATTTAACAGAAGAAAGTTACGCTGTTTTGCTGGTGGAGCAGAACTTTCTTTTGCTGGTGGAGAAAGACGCCGAACACTTGAAAGATATAACTTATATTTAAAATTTTGATATATTTTTTTCAATCAGGATTGACAAAGTTGGAGAGCTTGATCCTAGATTCATGTAAAGTTGGTGATCATGGATTGGCCAACTTGGCAGGTAGATATATGAATCTCTTTGCCAATTTTTTGTAGGGTCTGCTTGTGATGGTTAATGATTTCCTGGATGAAAAAATTGTCTAAAAAGTTTTGGAAAATGGAAATTTTTGTGGTTATTTATAGTGTTCTATTGGTTGCAAATGATCCAGTTTTTTTATTTTGTTTCACCTTATTTAACATTGAAAATGTAGATTTGCTTGTTAATGTCTGTAGGCCTTCAGAAATTGAAATGTTTGGAATTGTCTGATACGGAAGTTGGAAGCAATGGGTTGCGTCACATATCAGGTTAAACGCTTCTATTATTGCTATGGCTTCGTTTAATATCGATTAAAGATGGAATGCTTGGATAAACTGTTAAGAGTCTTTCTGAAATCTGATTTCTTTTAATTATTAAGAACTTGTTTGCACATTTGTAAAAACGTCTTTCAGGAAAACTGACCAATAACTCTTGTTTTGTTTTGGTTCTAGTTATTGAAGAATAAAGTGATTTGAATGTATATGCATGGTCTTGAAAGTTTATTGCTTATCTAATTATTCTTTGAAACCATTATTCCTAAAATACTAGTTTGTAGCTGCTCATAACAAGTTCTTTTTTATTTTCCGTTTATTTCTTCTTCAACTTATCATTGCGAACTGGATTCATTTTTGTGGTAGATACCTTCATAGATTGTCTCCACTATATTCTAGTATTATATGCATGAGCTGTCATTAAAAAGTGATCGTTTTTGCTATGGACTAGCATTCCCCTATATTGACTATAGTGTTATTTAATTTCTCATAGGATTGTCTAGCCTGGAGAAAATAAACCTGTCATTCACTGAGGTTAATGATATTGGCTTAAGGAAATTGCGTGGCCTCTCATGTCTAAAGTCTCTAAATTTGGATGCTCGCCATATTACTGATGCTGGATTGGCAGCTCTTACAAGTACGTGTGGTTGACTAGTTGCAATATTCTATAGTTTACATGGGCTCCAAATCCTGTTTAATCTCATAGACTCACTACGAATTTTAATTTTAAAAGTTTGAGTATCCTGGCTCTAGTCTTTTAGCATAAACCTTATTATGGCAGAACACGTCATTCTGAGTTTATTGGTGCAGATTTGACTGGCCTTACTGATCTTGATTTGTTTGGAGCAAGAATAACAGATTCTGGAACTAACCATTTGAAAAGTAAGTAATATCGTTGTAATGATCACTTTATGGGTCATCTGTGCTTTTGTTCCCTGACTGAGTTGACATCAATTCTAATTGAAACTGTTTTGTTGATTGCTTTTATGGAGAACAGACTTCAAGAACCTAAGGTCCCTGGAAATATGCAGTGGAGGCTTGACTGATGCTGGTGTGAAGAACATCAAAGAACTTACATCTCTGATGTTCTTAAATTTATCACAAAACGGCAACCTTACAAACAAAAGCCTGGAGTTGATTTCTGGTATCTTCTTAGACCCTTTCAGCTTGATGGATAAGTAATCACTCATGAAAACCCTAAATCTATTTGATTAATTTAACTGATCAAGGGGCCTCTGGTTTGAAAACATACGATAGCTTTTAAAGTTTTATAGTTGGATTTTAAGCTTTTCTGCTGAAAGGAGGAAATAATCTTGGTGATCAATTTCAGACAGGAAAAGAAAATATAGGTGATGGATTAAAAATTTCATGTCAAAAAAACTGGAATTTCCACCTTTTGACTGATTTGCCCATGATGGTACTGATTTCTTTCCTGCTAAGACAACTTTCGTAAGAAACAAAGATTTGTCGATAATGCTTGGCTGTCTCTATTCCTAGCCAAGCACTGACATGGCCATTTTGAAGTTGACCGTGTACAAATCGTCACCATAAAATGATTGAAGTTTGCTAAAATTGAAAGGACTTGATTTGCATTTAATTCCTTATGTAGAGATCAGACTTGGTAGTTGTTTGTAATGATCTCTCTCTGCTGACATTGCTTGCAAATTCAGGCCTGACTGGGTTGATATCTTTGAACGTTTCAAATTCTCGCATCACCAGTGCTGGGTTGCGGCATTTGAAAACGCTCAAGAACTTGAGATCTCTGACCCTGGAATCATGTAAAGTGACTGCAAATGACATCAAGAAACTTCAATCCACAGATCTACCAAATCTGGTCAGCTTTCGGCCTGAGTAGGCAGAGAACCACCCCTCCCCCCCTCTTCCCTCCCCCCGGGGCTCTGTGATATGTTTGTATATATGTATATACGGTAATGATTGGAAGGTGGTACTGGAAGAAGAGCTTAAATTGTACAGAGATTAATGGATGGCGTCTTCTCGTGGTCTCAGGCTTTTCTTTCATATTATCATGATGTGTTACATAGCTCGTGGCAATTGGCAAGTAATCTCTGTAATAAGATGACGGGTGATTTCTGTCATTACCCGATCTACTGCGCAGACAGCAATAAAGAGTTGGATTTTAAATTTTTTTATTAGAACAAGAAAAAGATACAGGCAACTTAGGTTGATAATTTGAATGTTCTAGAATCTTGGCGACCGCAGAATTAAGCGAGTATTTTATTACCAAAAGCCTCTAATCGCGACATTCTCACTTGGGAAATTTTTCTATCGCCATGGACGGTAAGAATTGATGTATTGAAGTTTTTGATTAATTTTTCTTGTCCTATTTTACATTTTCGTTTCTCCTCGGACCAAACAGGATGAATTTTTATTAGCCAATATCCAAGTCTTTTATAGGAGTAGCTAGAACCTTATTTTTGTTGACCAACTACTATCTCTGATTTTTAGTATAAGAACTTGTTTAGTTTTCAGTTCAGTTCTAAATATAATATTTCAATTCATTTTATCTCTCATATTTATTTATTTTTTTAAAATTAATCTTTGTTGTACATGCTAAAAATTTTATCAAATAATATACATTATTAGCAAATGTATTCTAAGAAAGACAGTACCAGTTTGTTGCAAATAATTAGCTTAATAAATTTTTTTAATTTACTCAAATCAACCAACTAATTCTTATATTAAAAACAAAAAACAGTAGTAACTAGAGCTTCCAGTGCTAAATGCACAAGTTCTGGCCGCAAAAAAAAAGTGTTGAACGCATAAGTAGTTTTGATTTGCTTAAAAAGAACTCCATAAACGGCTTCCTAACTGATTCCTAATTACCCTTCTAGCCTATTATTACTCGTATAATATACGATGCTCATATGATTAAATGTCTATTTTGGCCTATGAACTTTATTGCCCAAAAAAGAAATCGTTTCTCGTGGATCCGTTTGGTTCAACCCCATTGCAGGCCTATGATGGTAATGGGGATTGCATTACCAAAAGAATGATGTTTGGTTGGTTTTTAGTATGGTAATAAGATTTGCCGATGATTACCAAAAATTTGGTATTATCCATTCACACCTCTCCCTTTATGAATACTCATTACCACCCCATTGCATATTTTGAAAAGTCTTATTTGCCCACCATATCCAATGTAAGAAGACACAAAATACCCTCAATCCCTCCCCCTCATCTTCTACTTCTTGGATTTCTTCTGCGGCCTCTGTCTCACTCACCTCCAATATTGACGAAACCTGTTCCTTTAACGTTGGCAAAGCTTCATTTCCCAATCATGATTCCTTCTTACAGTCACACTCCATAGCTTTCACCTCAAACATTCGATTTCAAAACAAAGTAATTAAAAAGGATGTATGAAGAGAATGACTAATAGTTTTGATTTTCCCAAAGACCCAAAAAAATTGATTCCAGATCTGTACTATTAGTTTTGATTTGTCATTCTCTGTGTTTTAGTTAGTTAGTTCCAAAAAATTGGTTCCAAATATGTATAGTTCATGGTTGGACTTGTGATTCATGAATTTTTATTGTATATTGAAGCTAATGTGATGGCCTGTTTTCCTTTTCATTTTATTTGTTGCCGTTGAAGAAATACAAAAGTATAAGACAAACCTTTTTTTTTTGTTGGATGAGGATATTTTGGTCTTTTTATTTGTTTACATATTTAATTTATCATAAAAATTAATTTTTCTTTTACACATGTCCAATGTCATACCAAACATTCTGATGGTACATCTCATTGCATTGCAGTACATTGCATGGTAGAGGGTATATGCAATTGTAATGTTTCTCGTGGGACTAAGTAATACATTTAAGATTACTAAATATGTTTGATATTTAATTGTTTTTTTTAAAAAAAATATGCCTTTATTAATTGTTTGACATGATGACCGTATAACAAGTTATCGCTAACTTGATGAGAATAAGAAAATGAATAAAGACAAGAAATAAAATGGATGATTGTTCCTTGTGTTTGTTTCTTATGGAGGCTTGGAGGGACTAGGGAGTACTCTATGGAGTTGACCTGAAACAAAATTATAGAACATCAAATTAATTGTTCCTTCTGATTTTTTTTTCCCTAAATAAAAGCTGTTTCTTCGTTGGCAACCACTCCTGTACCTATTTTGAGTCACTTGTACCTCTGATACTTAATAATTATTTTTCAATTTTACTCACAGTTAATTCTCACTGAAAATAGAAAATAGAGCAAGAAAATATATGTGAGAATGATTTGTAAATACAAATAGAGAAAATATAAATTTGAAAAATGTTATTGTTTACGCAAAAATATGTCATTTCTTCACAATCTCTCAAAGCAAGCACTGTTATGGGTCACCCGCTTCCGCAACACAGTTAATTTCTCACGAAGCATTTATTTGAGAACACGTTCATACGTTGTCCATGCCATGCTTTAATGGCGGTGCATGAGAGATCAGAGGTCGCAAACTCTTGACTTCCAAAACGACAACTGTTTGGCAGAATGGGATTGAAATTGCCAGAGCCTATTAATAAAGGGGTTGATACATCGAAGTTGCTCCTCACTTGAAACTGTTGAAAGCCATGTCCAAGGAATTGGTCAAACTCATCCATCTCCTCCATCTTTGGTTGCCTTTTCCTTATCTCCAATCTGCCGTAATGTCCGCCGCCGCCTTCATCCGACCTCCTCCCCTCTTTCACAACCTTCAAAACCTTCGAAGGTGTTGGAAATCTGTTGGAAGAAGCAGCAGGACGACAATGGGGGGAAGTGAATAATGTTACCCATGGTGCCGGGCTAGTGGAGACACGATTCAGGCTGAGGGGTTGCGCACCATTTTTGGATATTATAATCCTTTTAAATTGTAATAAAATATTTTAAATAGAAATTATTCAATCATTTCCGTAAAAATTCATTTTTATTCTTACGCCCATTTCCACACCAATTCCAAAAGGGCCCTTAGTTTAAACAAATTTTCCCCACGCCGCGTTGCTGCAAATAAGCATAGTCCTATAACCTAGTAAGATAGGAGGTTGCAAGTTGGGTTTCACTTGCCCTTTAAGCTATTTAGCTTGCCTCTTGCACTTTAGGGAGAGAAAAAAGTTGATGATTTTGGGGGTGTTAAATTTATTTCTGGTAAACAATGTCCGTATGCCACAACCCTTTCTTTTTTTTTTCGTTTTTAAGATTAGAGGGGCTAGCACTAATGCTATGAAGTAACAAACGGGATTCGCAACCTTCCACTTTCAAGAAAGCTTTCATGGCATTAAGCAATAAAACTGAATGAAATGAAAAACCATATGAAAATAAAACATTTTAAAGATATGTTTTACTCTTAAAAAGTTTGGGGGGGGGGGGGGAGACGACAACTTAAAATGTGTTAAGCAATCATTACAATAATGTAATAGGCATTGCAAACCCCCTTTCTCCATACAGGGGGGCAAAGCAAGTAATTTACCTTAAGTTATGGTAGATTCAACATGGGTCAACAGCTGAGACTTGAACAAAGTTCAAAATCACATAGGAAAAAGGTAAAATATTAAACAGCACAAGTAATCAACATTCTAAACATTGCATAATAGGGTAAAAATATCAAGATATTTCTAGAATTCTCCTTTGTTGCATAATAAAACTCTGCTATTAAAGTTCCTAAAGCAAATAACTTACACAGATCCTGAACCAACTTGTCAAATCTACATCTTTGAGCGTCATTCTTCAGTAAATTTTTAAGTCATGAATCACAAACTGCAGATAACACAAAAATAGTTCAGTTCTGGCACACCACATGATGGATCTAGAGAGTAGCATGATCAATTAATTTGGAGTGCTCAGTGTAAATCAAAGTACATACCAAATTTGTGGAAGGGCCAGCAAGCCAAGTATGTAAAAGAAACTTGTCTATGGCTGATTTGGATCATCTCTGAGCTTGATCCGAGGAAGCTCCGATTGAAGAAGCCACTACGCTGCTTGCTGACCCATTCTCTACGGGTGGAGGCACACCCCACTTGCCTTCAGACTCAAGGGGTTCAAACACATGAACTCCACCATCTGACAGTCCAACAGCAAACTGATTGGGTTCTTGTGGATGTGCTGCAATCACAAGTGGCTGTACACTGGAACTGCTGCACAGAAAACAAAAGTTGAAGTTTACCAAGAAGTTTGATAAACTTTGTAGAGAATTAATCACTTGGGGGAAAAAAACTCAAGATTGACTCCCATCTCCTTCTAGCTTTTAACCGAAGACTACTTTAGTTTAAAGGTTTATAACCATTAAATTCACAGGAAAACTATTACACATATGCCTTATCCCAGAAATAATTCGGTGGACGTAAGTCAGACTACAGACAGAAAGATGAGGGGAAGCCACAATTGCTTCAATGATGCGTGTGTACAGCGTGTGTTTACGTGTGGCTGTGTGAAGCCCAATATTGAGAACCATCAAATTTACACTTGTAGCTGTGCCTGTAGTCTCTATACAAAAGTTTTAAGAAATTGGTTTCATAAGTCATTGACAATTGAAGTTCACATAATCGACTGACAATATAAAGGAACAAGTTTTATGCCTGGTGAGACAAATCAAACGAATAAGCACAAGTCAGCTGGCGAAAGAAGGCATCACCTCACACTTGAAGGAAGATAAGCAGAAGGATTGATACGACAACGTAATTTAAGGTTTGAAGCACTAAATACAGAGACTGTTGCATCTAAAAAGCTGGCATATATCAGTTGGCTATCACATGAGAAAGTCGCGTGTGATATTGGAGCAGCAGAATCTCGAGGGAACCACTACAATTCAAAGTAATTATATCAGATGCAGATATAATTGAGTAAAGTTGATCACATAACACATGGACCTTAATGAATTTACCTGCTTCAGATGTTCTAGTTTTGATGTTTCATAAATTGCAAGTTGAGTTTCATGTACAACCAAGAAGTGTATCTGATCCTGATGAAACTGTACACGCGTATCTGTTGGAGCTCTCCCAGCAGGAAGCTGCAAGAATCTGCTCTTCTGCTTTTCCCATCCATCGGTATTCCAAACACATAGCTGCAAAACACAGAACTCAGTGATGAATGATGACAATCCACACGATACCTTATAAAGACGGTATTGCCAATGTTATGTACAAAGGGAATCCATGTTAAGCGGAACATCA